CTCTCTCTCTGTAGTAGTCCGCTGATACTGAGAAGTTAGGTGGCGAGAGGGGAAGAAGAGATGGTGGACTTAGAAGAGGAAGAAGAAGAACTCTCTCTCTCTCTCTCTCAGTCCAATACTAACCTGTAAAGCTGGCGCCTTGATGCAGGTACCTCGAAGATGGAGCTGGAGCTATGGCGCCACAGGTAAGTCTCGCTGGCCTCCGCCAGCCATCTCTCCCAACTCTACTATCTACCACCAACTAGAGCCCAGTGCTGAAGACTTCTGCTATGGCTACTAGCGCCCAGCGCTGAAGACTACTGCTAGCGCTAAGCTACTCCTGGCAGCGCTCCTCCTGAGTGCTGCGGCTGAATCCTGAAGACTACTCGTCCTACTGTCCAACTACCTACCGTGAAGTGCATGGGAAAGTCCTATGTACTACTCGGCCTGCCTCCTGACTGCAGGGCGAGGCAGTCCAGGAGGCTGCTCTTGCCAATGCCGCAGGGAGTCAGGGCCTGCCGCTGCAGCTCCTGCTTGAGGCAGTCGTGGGAACAGGCTTAAGATAGCCTGTTCCGAAAACCCTGTTTTTGTGCCTGAGTCTTAGGGTCGGTCGAAACGATGAGGGCCTGAAAATGGCCCTCCGTTTCAGGCTGAAAAGCCTCGGGGCCTGAAAGGCTGAGAAATAGGTTGAAAACGGAATAGGGCCTGCAGGCCCTCGTTTTTCAGTTTCAGGCTGAAACGACCGGGGCCTGTAAGCCCTATTTTCTAGGATTTTAGGCTGCAAGTGTGGGACGGGCCCTGCAGGGCCCGTGTGGCTACGCAGTATGCCATCCCCCCCCCTCCTTGAAAGACCGAGCTTACCTGCGAGGGCGAAGCTGTCTGTCTGAGGGAGGGACCACAGTCAGGGTGGGAGGGGCCGGTCGTGAAGCTTCCTGAGCTAACCTTTGCTTCTCATAATGCGCGTAGATCAGCGGTGCGAATGCTTTCAAATCTGCTCCTGAAATCCACCGAGTGTCGTCACGATCGCAGGCTTTGAATGTAACTTTGTACTATCGCGGCTTGCTGCCGTACTTGCGATCGGTGATGACGCGGTCAACTTCCTGATGACCATCCATAGAAGGAGGGTCCTGCGATCGTCGGCCCGAAAAGTCGTTGCTCTTAGCTGGCGTGTATGTTGCCAGCTTTGAGGCGTGAAAGACTGAATGGACCGTCAGATGCGGGGGGATGTTGATCACAAATGAAGGGCCATCGGGCTCATCGCCCGCGGCTGATGTTACAGGCCATGGTCCAAACCACTTGGGAAACAGTTTGCGGAGACATCCTGTTCCAGTGCAAACTCTTCCGCAGAAACCCAAACCAGGTCGCCGACGCGGATGGGACATGGCACACGATGCCTGTTGGCTTGCTGCTGCATGCGAACTTGAGCCTTTTGCATATTCGCGCGGGCTTGAGCCAACAATTCCCTGTAATTCCGGACGGAAGCGGGAGAGCAAGGGGCATCGATGTCGGCTGGTCGTGGGAGGAGAAGGTCGGCGAAGATACGGCCTTTCCGTCCACCGTGGTGCAACTCGAATGGAGTCACGCAGATCGCCGGGTGCACCGAAGTGTTGTAGGCGAACTCAATGTCGGGGAGGCGGTCAACCCAATCTTTCTGGTCCGGACAGATGAGCGTATGAAGCATCCTTTGAGCGGTTTGATGTGCCCGCTCCGTTTGCCCGTCCGCCTGTGGATGCCGAGCCGAACTTGGTTTCATCTTCGTGCCGGACTCCTGCATGAGAGCAGTCCAAAATGCCGACATGAAGCGAGTGTCGCGGTCGCTGACTATGTCTTCTGGTACACTGTGGCCACAAATCCAACCGGTGTGCAAGAGGCGTGCCAGCTCAGGAGCCATGGAGTAGTACTTGCAAGGGAGAAATCGCGCGTACTTACTCAATCGGTCCACGACAGTGAGGATGCCGTCGTGTCCGAGGCGGTCGCGGGGGAATGGTTCGGTGACATCCATGACAATGGAGAGACCGGGTTCCTGCGGGATCGGCATCGGGCGCAGCTCGCCGTAGGGGTTGCGGTTGCGGGGTTTCCTTCGTCGGCAAACTTCGCATGAGTCGCAATACCTCGTGACGTCGGTGATGAGGTCGGGCCATCGGAATCGCTGTCGAAGCCGTGCAATAGTGCGGTTGACTCCGAAATGGCCGGCGAGTCGCGAATTATGATACTCGCCGAGGAGGCGAGTCCGAAGACAGTGGTCGCGTGGGACACATAGTAAGTCCTTGCCCCGCGAGTGCAGGAGCAAGTACCCATCGACGATGCGATAGTGGCTGGCCGACGGGTGATCCGAAGATAGCTGTGCATATAGCGTGGCGAAGTCTGGATCGGACTCATAGCCCCTGATGAAGTGTCGCTGGAGCTCCTCGTCGAATGCGAAGGCATGATGTGTCATAGCGCAAAGATCAGGTCTTCGTGAGAGTGCATCTGTTGCGCGATTGGAGAGGTCGGGAAGATGTTTCGGTGTGAAGTCAAATTGGTCGATGAAGTACATCCATCGTCCGATCGTGCTGCTCATCGTATCCTGCGTCTTGTAGTAAGTCAGTGGGTTCTTGTCCGTAACCCATGTGAACCTGCGACGCCCAAGGAGGAAGTGCCGCCATCGCTTGAGAGCCATCACGAACGCGAGCAGCTCCTTCTTCCTTGCATCATCAAGCGAGTTGATGGGAGGCACTTTGTGGCTGAAATACTCCACAGGGTGCCAGTCGTCGTCGTCGTGCTGTTCCAAGACTGCCCCAATGCCATAGCCGGAAGCGTCCGTAGTCACTCTCGTCGGCAGGGTGGGGTCATAGATGCTAAGGACGGGTGTCATGAGCATGGCCGTCTTGAGTGCTTGGAATGACCGGCGTGCGTCGTCATCGAATACGAATGGCACCTTTGGTGATTGTAATCTCGTCATAGGTGCAACAATCCTTGAGTATCCGATGATGAATCGCTAATAGTAGCCCGCCAACCCAATGAATGAACGAACGTCCGTGGTGTTGGTGGACTCGGGCCATACGCGGAGGGCCTCGATCTTGTCCACAAGCGGACGGATGCCTTGCGGCGTCACATAATGTCCCAAGTACTCCAACTCCTGCCGCGCGAATTCCCATTTGTCGCGGTTGGCTTTGTACTTGGCTTGTCGTAGCCGCTCCAAAACGGTGCGCAGGTGTTCCACATACTCGTCCAAACTCCGGTTGTACACCAGGATGTCGTCAAGGTAGATAAGTACGAAACGATCCAGCATGTGTCGGAACTCCGTTGTCATAGCCGCTTGAAAGTGGACGGGGCATTCGTAAGGCCAAATGGCATAACCAGCCATTCGAAATGCCCATATCGCGTCTTAAACGCAGTCTTGTAGCGGTCCTCCTTCCGAATCCCGAGTTGGTGATATCCCGACTTGAGGTCCATCTTGGAGAAGAACTTGGCGCCGCCCAGTCTTTCGAGAAGGTCGTCGATGCGTGGGAGAGGGCCGCCGTTTCTGATCGTCTGCACGTTGAGCTTGCGATAATCGATGCACAACCGCAAATCCTTGTTCTTCTTCCGGACGAAGAGAACAGGAGCACCGTATGGCGATGAGCTAGGCCGWATCCAGCCTTTCTCTAGAAGGTCGTCGAGTTGTGCCCGTAGCACACTTAACTCTTCCTCGCTCATTCGGTAGATGCAACCGCGTGGAGGTACGGCCCCGTCCTCGAGGATGATCTCGTGGCGGATGCGCCGATCCGGTACTACTCCGTGCGGGCCTTCGAACACGTCGCCGTAGGCGTCGAGAAGCTCGTTGATGCGTGGGTCCGAAGATGAGTCCGTTGATGAAGCGTCATGGGGCGGGAGGGCGTGGAGAAAACACACCCCCATCTCCTCGATGTCGTCTCTGATGATGGAAGCTCGCATGCTTGCAGCGGACACCACGTGACAGCTGATTCGCCTCTCCGATCTAAATGCGTACATATAGCAATGGTGCGTCGATGTCGTCGTACCGTTGCGTCTTGAACTCGTGGTCGATCTTCGCAATGTAGGCGTGAAGGTCGACAACCTCTACTCCGACGTCCATCAACGGAGTTGGTACTACTGTGTGCAAGTAATCCCGCAATTGTGCCTTGAGCACGTTGCAATGCGGTTTCGGCAATCGACCGGACCGGGGAAGGGGCATCCATTGGAAGTCCGCAAATGTCAACGGGTCGAGCTCTTCAAGTCTTGACCATGACGTTGAATCCCCGACGGTAGATGGCGGCGAAGCTGCCAAATCGGTTGTCGATGGTGATGAAACCGTGCATGCGGTAGATTGTTGCGCGTGGAGCGGTTGGTCCAACGGTGGGACCAAGTGGACAGCATAGTCCTCGTAAGCATACTGAGAACTTACGACATTCGCATCCTCCCYAGATGTGTAGGAGGCCGCTAGCAAGGCGGCCGAATCTGGCGGAGTGGGAGGTGGAGTCGCCTCACCTCCCGCGGAACTCAGTTTCCCGAGCTAAGACGAGGCCACACATCCTCCTTGGCCTGATCCTGGCAAAGGGAGGTCTTGTGCTTGATGCTGTTGCACCAGTAACAGCAGCCGTAACGGCCACGATACTTGTACTCGGCCTCGGTCAAGTTGAACTTGACCCATGGTGTTGGTTGTCCGTTTCCGGCCTGCGATGCTGATTTCACCTTCCCGTTCACTCGGGGCTTGTTGTTGCTTCGCGGCTGGACAGCAGCCACCTGATCTCCCTCACGTGACGCTTGGGTGGTTGTCGGGTCTTCCACAGTGTTGTCCGATTGGACTGCAGAGAACTGCTGTTGTCGCGGACCAGTCTTTACCTTCTCCACATAGGTTGGCTGCCACGCTGACCTCTCGTGTGCAGCCGCCCTGTTGGTCTTGATGATCTCCCTCGCCTTGTCAATGATCTCAACGAAGGTTGCGTACTGCTCGCGATCACCCAGTGCGAGGCTCAATGCAGCACATGACCTGTTATAGAACTCGCGGCGCTGATGCGGAAATGGTAAGTCCAGATCGGGTGTTGCCGCGATCTTCTGCCATTCCGTAAGCCAGTCACGTGTTGCTGTGTTGCCTTGCGTCATGGCGAAGAGACGGTTGATGGCGAGTGCAGGTGCGTCATCCATGATGAACCGCTTCTTCCATAGCCGTGTTAACTCTTCCCATGAGATCTTGTCTTTCAGATCTGCGACGTTGACACCGTGGGTAGATGCCAGGTGGCTTAACCAGATCTGGCATCCGCCCTTTGAGTTAAGAAACAGGGCGCCGACGTACGAGTGCTTGGCGACTTGCAGAATCTGAAGTTGCGTCGTGAAACCTTCCCACCAGAGGACCAGGTCCTGATGGGTGTAGTCATCGAACTTCTCAATTTGAAAAGTTGGCATCTTGTAATGCTGTGTGCTGTTGCCATTCTTGTTAGGCAGCTGCAGTTGCTGGACCTCGGTCTTCAAGGTATCCAGCTGATTGTTGATGGTGGTCGGCTCAGCGAAGGTGCTGATGTCGCCGAGCATTGCGACGACGTGGTCGACGCGTTCCTCCATTTGGTGGTTAGAGGGTGCACTGCTGGACACACCAGCATCTGGTCCTGGTACAGCTTGCTCCAGGTCCAGTACACGGGAATTGAGTTCCCGTGTAGCATCCTCGTGGCTCTGCACTGTCCGGTGGAGGTTTGCCAACTCCTGGTGCTGTTTCTGCGGATCCTGGTACTGTTGCTGCAGTTCCTGGTTCTGTCTCTCTAACTCGGACTGTTGATAGTTGCAAGCGTATAACAACCGTGTCACGAGTTTGGAGAGGAACTCCTTGTGCTGCTCCTTCGGTGTCGCGTCGTCGCCGTTGGACGGTGGAAAGTGCCAGAACTTGAGTCTTTCGATGCTGGCGGCTTCATGCCGCTGCAGCAGATCCTGGGCTTCCTTGCGGCGTGCCTGGGTATCTGCGTCTGCTTCGGCCTGTAGCTGCTGCTTCTCAGCTGTTGCCGCTGCTTCAGCCTGTAGGCGGGCAGGCTCGGCTGCCAGCTGGCGCTGTTCCTCGGCCTCGATCAATGTGAGCTGAGTCTGGAACCGCTGTTTGTAGTCGGCAATAGACTCATTGGCCAGTTGGCCTGGCATGCCCACAGCTGCGCCCGTCATGATGGCGGGGCACTGCTGACGTGGTGTTGTGACATGGCACTGTTGTCGTGGCACTGCTGACGTGGCATTGTGGCTGACGTGACACTGTTGCTGACATGGCACTGCTGACATGGCACTGTGGCTAACGTGGCACTGTGGCTGACGTGGCACTGTTGCTGACGTGGCACTGTACCAACTCGGAAATGCATGCAAAGGGGTGGGTGGGAAGGAAAACGTAGGTAGGCAACCAACCCAACAATACTTTCCTCGGGCCCTAATCAACAGATAAAATATATTTAAAAAAAAGGAGTACTTACTTTTTTTTTTCTTTTTTTTTTGTATATCTGTCGATCTATTATGAGTGAGACATGTCAGAAGAGTACTATGAATGAGATCTAGGCTAGGTTCCACAAAGTTTCAGCTTTCGCAAAATGCGATCTTGAAAGAAAAAAAAAATTTGCGAGATAGAATAGAGATGCGATTTTCAGAAAAGAACTAAATCCCGTATCTGAGAATATGGCAACCTCCGAATATGCCTATCGAAATGTTGGTAGGCTTCGCAAGATTTTGGTTTTCAAAAAAAACAAATTTGCGAGATAGAATGGAAATTTGATTATCAGAAAAGAATAATTCCAGTTTCCGAGAATATGACCACTTCTATCGTTATCCCAATATGCCTAGAGAACGAAATACTAACATCAGAAATTTCAGNTCAGAAAAGAATAATTCCAGTTTCCGAGAATATGACCACTTCTATCGTTATCCCAATATGCCTAGAGAACGAAATACTAACATCAGAAATTTCAGCTATGTATGCGAAATATCAGAGAGACGAAATGCTACTATCAGGAATTTTCAGACAAAACGAAATGCRATTTATCARAAATTTTCAGGTATTTGTTACGTGAAAACRAAATACCAATATCAGAAATTTTCAGGTAAAACGAAATGTGAATATCRGAAATTTTCAGATAGTTGTTGCGAGAAAAAGAAAAARAAAAATTCAGAGATTTGACGRAGTCCTTCTTGATTTACTGATGAGTAATCAATAGATCAAGCAAGCTGGCTACTTGATTGAGYGGGTCCTCTGAATGAGAGGTCCGCTCCGATACCAAAYTGTTGCATACTGTAACTGTGCAGACCARAACAAGAACCGACCTCTCAATGCAAAGTACACGATAGCGTAGTGGAAGACTTAGATACCAATGATCCGAACAATCAATATTGCAATGCAGCCCTGAACATACATCATCATCATCGTTTCATGGTGTGAAAGGGGTCTGGCGCTTCACACAGGAAGACTGCGCCAGCCCCAACCATACACAGACGAAGAAGAAGGGGGTTAGACGAAGAGGAGGGGAAGATGGGAATGTCGTCAACACCAAGTCTTTGGCACAGNGCGCCAGCCCCAACCATACACAGACGAAGAAGAAGGGGGTTAGACGAAGAGGAGGGGAAGATGGGAATGTCGTCAACACCAAGTCTTTGGCACAGGCCCAAATAGTCCCTCGTCAAAATGTCTGAATCACAAATGTCGAGTCTGGATCCAATGTCGTCAAGTCTCAAGTCACAACTCTATCTCTGTTGTAGTCCGCTGATACTGAGAAGTTAGGTGGCGAGAGGGGAAGAAGAGATGGTGGACTTAGAAGAGGAAGAAGAAGAACTCTCTCTCTCTCTCTCAGTCCAGTACTAACCTGTAAAGCTGGCACCTTGTTGCAGGTACATCGAAGACGAAGCTGGAGCTATGGCGCCACAGGTAAGTCTCCCTGACCTCCGCCAACCATCTTCATCTCTCCAACGCTACTCTAGCTCCTAATAGTGCCCAGCACTGAAGACTACTGTTAACGCTACTACTACTACTGCAGCGCTCCTCCAGAGTGCTGCTGCCGAATCCTGAAGACTGCCTCCTGCCTCCTGCACGTGAAGTGCCTGGGAAGTTCCTCCGAACTACCTCGTGACTGTCTGCAGCCTGTGTGGCGGGCCAGTCTTATATAGTGCTGGCCCGTCCAGGAGGCTGCTCTTGCCAATGCCAAAACGTGCCAGACCCTGGCGTTGAAGTTCAACCAAGGGTTGTCTTGAAAACAGGCCAAAAATGGCCTGTGGTAAAACCCTGGTCTGGTGCCTAAGTTTCAGGGCAGGTCGATCTTATGAGGGCCGGAAAATGGCCCTCTGTTTCAGGCTGAAACGACTCAGGGCCTGGAAGGCCCTGTGTTAGGCTGAAACGACATAGGGACTGCAGGCCCTCGTTTTCAGGCTTTCAGGCTGAAACGACACAGGGCCTGTAAGCCCTTGTTTTCAGGCTTTTAGGCTGAAAACGACACAGGGCCTGTAGGCCCTTGTTTTCACGCTTTTAGGCTGAGAACGCTGGTCGGGCCCTGCAGGCCCGTGTGGCTGTGCAGTATGCCACACTACCTTTCCAGGCCATCCCCCAGCCACCTGCTCTTGACCTCAAAGTGGAGGCAGCAGGATCTGATCTGTGCATCATGTCCGACTTTGGGCCTGTATTCTAGCATATTGAATCTTCTAGTGGCCTCTGGTTCAACCCATCCTTTATGCAGAGGGAAAACAAAATAAAAAACAAAAGCTAAAAAAATAAAAGCTCTATTCTACAAAAAAAGAATGTGAAATAAGAAAAACAAAGAAATGAAAAAAAAGAAAAGAGAGAGAGAGAGAGAGAGAGAGAGAGAGAGAGAGAGAGAGAGAGAGAGAGAGAGAGAGAGAGAGAGAGAGAGAGAGAGAG